TATATAATTTCAAATCTGTCACGTGTATGGAAGGCGAGCAAACAACAAGTTTCACGAATTACGTAATCTTAGATTTTGGCTGTTCCATTCCCAACAGAAAAATACTAGGACTTGTACTACCTAGCTGGGAAACCGAATTATTAGCCATTTTCAATTTATCGTGTGATATTTCATTTTATACGAATAAGGACTTATAATCTTGAACTTACAACTCTATTTCTTACAAGTACACCATTTTCTAAGCTGCATCATGAAGGAGCTAGTTGACAAGTTTGGAGAGCATAACTTTATTGATTTTCAAGATATCGATTCAAATGCTTTTATTTTTTTATATAAAACTCGGCAGTCGTCTTTCATGGTTTTTTCGCAAACCTCTAGCGCTTACACACTGAACAAAAAATTCTCACATTTATAGCCATTTGAAATTAAATACATAAATGTATCAAGAAAGTTATATATAACAGTATAGGAACATATTTCTGTTTGTTTTAAAGTATATTCATCAAACATCAAACATTTACTGTAGAGTAGGTTTGTTCCTTAAGTTAAATAAGGAGGACTAAAATACCCCCCCCCCCGCTCTGGCAGCTCAGTAGTTAGTCTGAGGTGTTACGATGTCAAAAACAGAGTTTCGATACCTTCGGCAGGCAGAGCGCATATAGTTCATTGGGTTAGCTTCGTGCTTAACAACAAACAAGCATAATTAAGTTTGACGTTTGCTTTCTATACTCCTAAAGTAGTTTTTGTTTAATTCGTATGCACTCTGTTATCTAATATCTTAACAACAAACAAAATAAACTCGTCGAAACACTGTGAAACTTATACAATTTGAGACAATAGAATGCTTTATGCTATGATCTGGCAGGAACCAAATCTTAGGCTGTGTCAAAGCATTACAAAATATGGTTAAATAAACCTCGTAAGTCTCCCTGATTAACTGTTAGTTTGGAAAATGTGCACAAACCTGACAGACTAGACGGAAGGCAGTTAGTCTCTTGTTTGACCGAATAGTGAGATTTGACCATTGTGCATTGCAAAGCTTTAAGAAGTTTAAAACATTTTGTACTGTTGATCCCCCTCTTCCCCCAATGGCTCAGAGGCACGTCTGAGGACATATAGCGCTAAAAACTGGGTTGAGATATTTGTGGTGGGTATAGCACAGATAACCCATTGTGTAGCTTTTTGCTTAACAACAAACAAATAAATTGCACTATTGATTAAAAACGTTAAAAATATAATGAAAGAAAAAAAATGGTTATCAAATATTACAATATTAATAATATTAGAATGTTAAAGTAAAAAAAAAAAATCTAACAATTTGATTTCCGACACTAAGAATATTTTTTAAAGTTATATCTTATGGGATAGATGACCTTAATTTAGTTAAGTTATTTGTAAATAGTTAGACAAATATTCATCCAATTTTCAGTTATTTGTGTATCAGGCATATATAACCTATCGAAATAAGCTTTTGTTGAATTTTTTTCCATCACTTGCCACAAAAACGCGCTCAATATTTCGAGGCCATGGATGCGCTATAAGAGTAAGAGTCAAATCCCACTATTCGTTAAGACTGGAGTATCCCCAGGGTTAGCGGTGGGTGGTTTTAACTAGCCTATCATCCCATAATTAGGGATGGTTATGAGCAGATAACGTACGTAGCTTCATTCAAAGTTCTGAAACAAACAAAACAAAAATTAAACTGTAGATTTGTATCATAATAAAAAGAAAAGAACATGTGTTTTAAATTGTGGTTTTGCTTTATTCTTTATAGAAATATTCGTAGTAGTTCTTTTATTGTTGTTCTCCGAGGTAAAATTACATTATAGAAATTAGATATGTTTGAAAAAAAAATTACGAATCTAACCTTTCTCAAAATACTTAGTGTAAGAAAATTACAGAAAACAACAAACATTATTTTAAGAAACACCATATCAAGAGAAATCTGATTGTAATGTCTTTAAAATATCACAAGGTCTTGACACTGTTATATAGAATCACAACAATTACTATTAAAGGCTTGAGACTATACAGAATTCATCGTCCGACTTAGCATTGTTTCAGTCATTTTATGTTAGATTATATGAGGTGTTTTCTTAAGAATCATTCAAATTCTTATAATCCCCCAATTTTTCACTTTTTTACAAACATTCTTCATTTCAAAATGAAGTAAAATTTACCTTTGTTTTTTTGTATTTATTAAAGCATGTGCTACATTTCAGTGCTCTTTCTATTGCAGTTCACAAGTTTCATAGCTATACCTAGTAACCATTTACTTCGTTCTCATTGG